TTTCCCAAAGAAAAAAACCCCCCAAAAAAAAAAAAAAAAAAAGTTCTGCCTCAAAAAAAAAATTAAATAAATTTTTTAAAAAATTTTAAAAATAAATAAATAAAAGCGGTTCTGCCTCACCTGGAATCAAGGAACAGAGTACCTTGACAAGACAGGGAGGGAAGGTGCGTTCTACCTTACTCACCCCCATAACTAGTCCTGTTTTACTGAAGAAACTTCTAGCAACAAAATGCTGCTCGGACAAGTCTTCTTGTTTAGAGGTATCACATTTTGGTCTAGGTGCCCTTGCTTTCCAAATGTTGCATGTCTCCTTGACCAGGCGTAAACTGTGTCTTCATTACTTTTCGTCAGAAAGCGTGTGCTTGCCAGAGAGACAGAGCTGCAGAGAGAGAGAGAGAGCACGCCCCCCTCCCCCAGGGCACGCTCACACCACAATCCCTTCTCCGTCCAGAAATGGCCTTTATATTGCTATGCTATTCAAGTTACTGTTCTTTCGAAAGTCACTACCGATACCATAATAAGCAAACCAACTGCCTTTTTCCAGCCCTCTAATTCTAACCCACAGATCAGAATCTGTGATTACTGGTCACCTTCCCCTTCTCCCTTGTCACCATACCCTAAGTTCCATTTTTGTGTCTGTGCTTCAAGTTCTTTGTAAAACCACAGACATCCTAAGGGCAGATGCCATGTTCAAGACACATGAGGGCCTGTCATGTGGCGTGTAGCAAAAATAAAATGACAATAGCACCGGCCCGCTGTGATTTATTCCTTTTATATGTCCACCAAAGCCTTTTATACTGTAGATGGTCAGTAAAGCTGACACCAAGATCAGTTGATTCAAGCAGTTGCCACCATCCTACTAACCTGTAAAGTCCAAAGTGAAGCAGAGCTGGGGCACCTTTTTTTAAACTGTGCAACTAAAAAAGCATGGGAGAGAGGTATGTGATCATTCCCACATCAAATGCTTCAAGCTGGGAACTAGATTGAAACTCTTCACTTCCTGTTGAGAATAAAGGTCCTTCTTAACTAAAGTTTCTCTCCCTGCATTTTGAGTTTCCTGTTTAAAACTCCCACTTTATCCTGCTACTCTTTATTTTTATGAGTGGAGCCCATAGCCTCAAAAAACAAAAAGAAACAAAACAAAACAAAACAAACACACCTTCTTGAAAAAGACTGGAAGGAACTACAGTCAATTAATTACATCTGGGTGGTTGAAATAGGGATTGGCGGCTGGTCTCTGCTAAAGCAGGAGTTAGAATCCCTTTGTTCTGCTAATGGAGGAAAGCAACAGAGAAGAAACAAAAAGACGTTTGCTGGCAAGAGTCCCAGGATGATGGAGTCTTATTTTCTCAGTTAGGAGGAGGAAAAGCTACCTATGGGTGAGGGAGACTGGGTTGAAAAGGAAGCTTAAGCACCCTAAAACGTGAATCATTCATTGAGTGGAATGGAAAACAGAGCTAAAGACAAACAAGACAATTAAACATCCACCCTTTAGCAAGATGGAGAAAGAAAGGAAGTTAGAAAACACAATGCAGCACATTCTCATTAACTATTCAATGTCCAGCATTATAAATCAGCTAAAATACAGAACCAGATGGGGGTCTCTGACGGAAATGTGATATAATACTGGTAAGATGATGTTTCTGAATCTAAAAGAATGGGAAATAGAAAATAAACCCTGGTCAAGTCAATAAGCTTAGATATTTAAGGTTTTTTTGCTCTTCTTTTTCAATGTACCTTAGTGAAGCAGGACTGTTAACAAAACAACAGAGTGGTCAGAAATACCATGGAGGTCAGCTAGTCCCCTTGGGGTGGGCCATGAAACAGTATCTGCCTGACTGATGATCCTCATCTGGAATTTTTCCAAATGGTTACTAATGACTTCAAGACGTTGCTTGGAAGAGTACACAGAAAGGCAACAGGGTGGGAGAAAGCTCTTCTTTAGCACTTCACATAAGTATCAGAAATGCACAGACCCTCCGACGCTACTCCCTACCCCCTCCCATACACACAATCACAATCATTAGCCCAAGTGGCCAGTGCACAATATGTGAGGTTTTACCAGTGCCAAATCATAATAACCTAAAACTACCTTAACAGAATCACATGATTACAAATCAGACAAATTAACTTCAATGTCTAGATACGGGAAACAGTTTTTTGTTTGTTTGTTTTTAAATTATAAAAGTATTATCAGTGAGCTATCAATCACCAACATTGTCAACCTGGTGTGACAGAATCACACAGATCTTGCAACCCAGGAAACGCCAGGACAAAGTAGGCGCTAAATAAAAAAATAGAATGAGTCTGATAGTAAAAGCATTTAACGGGCAGGGAGGGGGGATGCACCAGGAAAAAGCAGATCAAGTTTAAGTCCTGGCAAATAATACTATCTCCAGGCGAATCTGCAGACAAAAGCCTTTCTGCCTACATCACAAACACTTTGTAACAAAATAAGATCCAGAAAGCACAGGCAACTAACAGGGTTACCGTTGGATCTTTTACTTTCCCTTTAAACAAAACAATATCGAAACTAGGGTCGCCCCCAAACTGTTTCCTTAGAAAAAGGAGCGGAAAAAAAAAAAAATCCAGGTGGGAGGAAGAAAGGGACTGTCTTTGAGCTCACTAAGCTAAAACAAACAAACAAAAACACCCAAACCAGGCAATTCTCAGAACTCCCACCCACCAAACATAGCACCCTCTCTTCTTCCAAGCCCGCTTTTCTCCTTCAATTCTTGCCAAGGAACAATTTCCCTATTCCTGCTCCCAACTCCTATTCCAAGTCTCTTCCCTCAAAGTCCCCATACTTGATCGAGTTAGAACACCCTAGAGAGAAGCACCCTACGACTCAGCCCTGCATCCCGTCTCCAGTCCCACCCCTTCCACTTCACACCCAGCGCCCCTAACTTCCCGCACATGCGCACCAGCCACCCGTCGCCCTTACCATGTACCAGGTCCCCAGGATGATCGTCCCGGTGCGGACATGGCAACAGCCGCAGCACCGGGTGCTGTAGAAACGGTCGCTGCGGCTCCGCTTGAAACTCATGGAGACCATTGGGAATCTCGCGGGCCTCGTTCTTGGCCGGGTCCCTGACGATCGATTTTTGCCCAGCCGCGGAACCCACTTAGCTCCGTCACGGTCTCCAAATCCAAACGACGCGTCTTCAAGCCCGCCCCCGGCCGGAGCCCCAGCCAGTTCCTTTGCGCCTGCTCACTGAAAGCCGCGAGCCGCTCTCGCGCGACTTGGACTTACTCCCACAGAACACCGGCCAATGGAGAACCGAAGCTGAGGGACCCGGACTCTGATTGGTAAACCTGGAGACTGACAAAACTTCACGCCCAATCAGAAGTTTAACTTGACTCAGGGCTTACTTGGTGTCCGCCTGTTACGTGAGGGCAAGGGCCGGCCTGTGGGCCTAGGGTAGTTCCGATAGAAGGAAGCCGGGCAGTTCACCATTTCCCAGGTCAGACCAGCGAGAAGGGAGGCATTTAATGGAAAAGGAAAAAAATGAGATGGAGTGGATGGGGGACAGGGCCCCTGATGGCGCTTTTCTGAGCAGTGTCTTTGCCACGTACAGCTCCGAGCCGTCACGGGACTCGGGCTGCTCACGTGACAGCGCGCAGCCCGATTATTGGCCTGCCGGGGGCGGGGCTTGCGGGAACAGGCGGACTGCTGTAGCCGTCCTCCCCGCAGGGCAAGAGGAGGCGCCTAGAGGAATAAAAGTTTGGGTTTCCATCCTCCGTCGCGCTGAAGCCTGCTGTGGGAGCAGAGAAATACCATCAAAGACTGCCAGAGGAGGAAAGATTAGGAAAATGAGAGCAGGATAGAGAGAGATTTTTGCAGAGAAAATTGTGAAACACTTTGAAATGAGTTTAAAGATTACTTAATGTTGCCAGTGAAAAACCAGTCTGGCACACCCCTCGGGGATTTCTGATTCTATAGAGCTCCCCACATGTTGCCCCCAATTTCTTTGTACAACTCTGTAGGACTTATCCACTGGATTGCATATTGAAAAACTACATATTGTATCAATTTTTAAATTTATTTCTCATTCCTGGTTCAACAGTGTAGACAGTGCATTAAATTCTCCTTAGAACCTCACACATCTTACTGGTCCCTTCATTAATTAATGAATAAATAAAATATTTGACACGCATTCATTTTGCATTTATATAAGACTTTTTACTTCAATATTTGTATAAGTATTTATCATTTAGTATTTCAGTTGAATGTACTTCCTTTTAGGGTAGAGGAAAGTCTGCCAAGTATATTAGCCAGAGAGTAATGAATCCATTGTAAAGGTTATTGTATTGGGTGGCTTCCACGAATACTGCTTGAAATTATATATTGATTTGTTGATATCTCCCCCCAAAAATATAAATTCTCAGAAATAAGATAATTCACTTTTTTTTTTTTTTTTTAACCACTGCAGGAGTGGGATCTTTCCTGTTTCAGGCCAAATGATACCAAAACTAGGTTGCATTTATCAAGATCTGCTTTTAATTGTTTCTTTAAGGAAAAAGATTACAGGGAGCTTGTAGTGGAGGAAGTATTAAGGAAGGGAGACCTGTCTTTCAGATCACAGAAGTACAAACTATTGAACTTTCTGACAATAGGGAAGGAGATAGCTAAGTCAAGCTACACTAAATGGTGGAGTGGACTTAACTCCATGATTAGGTAGGCAATTTCTCCACTTACACAGGAAGTGAACTGTATTAACCCTAAAAGGAACAATGTACCCAATGGTCCCCACTGTGTCCTAGGCCCTGATCCAATATCAGTGATTCAATATTTTGGATCATTTCATTCTTAAAACTCTATGAGGTATGCACTTTGTATTATTTAATTCCATAGAAATTAAATTACTTTTCCAGGATTTCAAGGTCAGTAAGTGTCAGAGCTGATCTTTAAAACCTACTATGCCACTGGGTTCCTAACTTTGCTTCACAGTGGAATTGTCTGGGGACCTCTTAGAACCACTGATGGCGGTTACTACCCCCTTCCATTCTGATGTATTTGGTATGGGGTGAGACTGGAAACGCTGGAATTTTAATAACTTTCCAGGTAATTCCAATGTACAGCACCATGTTAGTCTTGATATAAAATGTGGCAGACAAAAATAAATACAATAGGGGCCAGTGGGTAGCATGGTGGTGAAAGTGTTGGACTCCCACATGGCTAACCATAGTTCAAGTCCCAGACTGGCACCTTGAAAATCCTGCCAGGCACATGTGCATACATGCCCCAAATCCTGGGAGGAGAATGGAAGAAAAGGGACTGCAATGTGGCCATTCCCCTGGTGGGTAATTTCTCACTTTCTCTCTCTTTGTCTCTCTCTGCTTCTCTCTGGTGAACACACATATTCCATGGCAAAAGCCCAAAATGAATTTACTTACATAAATAAATATAATAAAAAGGGAAGATACAGTAGAAAGATGAGAGAATTTACCTGACTTATCTAAAAGCCAGAAATCTTGGGGCCAACAGGTGGCATAGTGGTTAAGGGTGCTGGACTTCCACAGGGTCGACCATGGTTCAAATCCCAGACCTCATGGCTTGCTCTCTCACTTTTCCTCTCTCTTCTCTCTCTCATCAAATAAATACATAAATAAGAGAGAGATTTTTGCAGAGAAAATTGTGAAACACTTTGAAATGAGTTTAAAGATTACTTAATGTTTCCAGTGAAAAACCAGTCTGGCACACCCCTCGGGGATTTCTGATTCTATAGAGCTCCCCACATGTTGCCCCCAATTTCTTTGTACAACTCTGTAGGACTTATCCACTGGATTGCATATTGAAAAACTACATATTGTATCAATTTTTAAATTTATTTCTCATTCCTGGTTCAACAGTGTAGACAGTGCATTAAATTCTCCTTAGAACCTCACACATCTTACTGGTCCCTTCATTAATTAATGAATAAATAAAATATTTGACACGCATTCATTTTGCATTTATATAAGACTTTTTACTTCAATATTTGTATAAGTATTTATCATTTAGTATTTCAGTTGAATGTACTTCCTTTTAGGGTAGAGGAAAGTCTGCCAAGTATATTAGCCAGAGAGTAATGAATCCATTGTAAAGGTTATTGTATTGGGTGGCTTCCACGAATACTGCTTGAAATTATATATTGATTTGTTGATATCTCCCCCCAAAAATATAAATTCTCAGAAATAAGATAATTCACTTTTTTTTTTTTTTTTTAACCACTGCAGGAGTGGGATCTTTCCTGTTTCAGGCCAAATGATACCAAAACTAGGTTGCATTTATCAAGATCTGCTTTTAATTGTTTCTTTAAGGAAAAAGATTACAGGGAGCTTGTAGTGGAGGAAGTATTAAGGAAGGGAGACCTGTCTTTCAGATCACAGAAGTACAAACTATTGAACTTTCTGACAATAGGGAAGGAGATAGCTAAGTCAAGCTACACTAAATGGTGGAGTGGACTTAACTCCATGATTAGGTAGGCAATTTCTCCACTTACACAGGAAGTGAACTGTATTAACCCTAAAAGGAACAATGTACCCAATGGTCCCCACTGTGTCCTAGGCCCTGATCCAATATCAGTGATTCAATATTTTGGATCATTTCATTCTTAAAACTCTATGAGGTATGCACTTTGTATTATTTAATTCCATAGAAATTAAATTACTTTTCCAGGATTTCAAGGTCAGTAAGTGTCAGAGCTGATCTTTAAAACCTACTATGCCACTGGGTTCCTAACTTTGCTTCACAGTGGAATTGTCTGGGGACCTCTTAGAACCACTGATGGCGGTTACTACCCCCTTCCATTCTGATGTATTTGGTATGGGGTGAGACTGGAAACGCTGGAATTTTAATAACTTTCCAGGTAATTCCAATGTACAGCACCATGTTAGTCTTGATATAAAATGTGGCAGACAAAAATAAATACAATAGGGGCCAGTGGGTAGCATGGTGGTGAAAGTGTTGGACTCCCACATGGCTAACCATAGTTCAAGTCCCAGACTGGCACCTTGAAAATCCTGCCAGGCACATGTGCATACATGCCCCAAATCCTGGGAGGAGAATGGAAGAAAAGGGACTGCAATGTGGCCATTCCCCTGGTGGGTAATTTCTCACTTTCTCTCTCTTTGTCTCTCTCTGCTTCTCTCTGGTGAACACACATATTCCATGGCAAAAGCCCAAAATGAATTTACTTACATAAATAAATATAATAAAAAGTGAAGATACAGTAGAAAGATGAGAGAATTTACCTGACTTATCTAAAAGCCAGAAATCTTGGGGCCAACAGGTGGCATAGTGGTTAAGGGTGCTGGACTTCCACAGGGTCGACCATGGTTCAAATCCCAGACCTCATGGCTTGCTCTCTCACTTTTCCTCTCTCTTCTCTCTCTCATCAAATAAATACATAAATAAATAAGTAATAAAATAAAAGCCAAAAATCAATTTCAAATCAGGTGTATTTAGGCCAACCCTGTGGTCTAATGGTTAAGGGAGTCAGATCCCAAGACCAGCAGATGGCGTAATGCTTACGGTGCTGGACTGCCACATGGCCAAGCAAGGTTTGAGTCCTGGACCCAGAGGCCTCAAATTCATGCCAGGCGCATGTGCAAACATGCCCACAATCTTGAGAAGAGAATGGAGAAGAAGGGGGTATGTGTAGTCATGCCCCCTGGGAGGGTGATTTCTCACTTTCTATTTCTCTGTCTCTCTCTCTTTGTTTCTCTGTCTCTCCAACGAGTGCATGCACCCTATAGCAAAAACCTCTCTTTAAAAAAAAAAAAAAAGATCTGGATCCCACATGGCTAATAGTGTGGTTTGAGTCCTGGCCCCAGTGGCTTGAAAAACATACTGAATTGGGACCAGCAGTTAGCATAATGGCTGTGTCGCTGGACTCCCACGTAGTCAACCGCGGCTCACGTCCCGGACCCGGTGGCTTAAAACTTACACCAGGCACATGTGCGTGTGTGCCCAAGATCCCAAGAGGAGAATGGAGGAAAAGGGATTGCGGCATGGCCATCTCCCCCTGGGGGGTGATTTCTCACTTTCTGTCTCTCTGTCTTTCTCTGTCTGGTGAGCACACGTGCCTTATAGAGAAAACCTCTCAAAAAAAAAACCAAAAAAACTGGATTTCTGTGTGTCTATACATGTGTGCCCCAAATCCTGACAGAATGGGAGAAATGGAGGAGAGGAGATTGTGGAAGGAACCCCCCACTGAAGTGCTTTCTCCCTTTCTTTCTGCATCT